GCGAACCCTACACGAACCAGGCATGATCCCAACCAGACACGAACCCGAACCCAGACACGAACCAAACACAACCAAACACGAACCAAATACAAACCCGACACGAACCCAGTAACCAGACACGAACCTTTTAAAAACATATATATTCTATCATAAAGTTGAAATTTATTACAAACCATGAACAAGAATCTACATATTCTTTCGAATCGACAGTCTCCATATAAATATACATCTCGACAAATAAACCAATTGTTCGAAAAAAAATATAATCGAGATGTTGGCAAATATAAACTAATGTGTATATATATGTGTAACTTCATATTCCCGAGATTATGAACCGTTTTTTAAAATACGGTATTATTCGAATGGAAACCTAATCTATTCATTCGCACAACGTTAATCAATTCGAGTTGCTACCCGTTTGTACCTACTTCTTCTCGTTGCATTTCTTGACTTGGTAGTTGTTGAACGTGCCTGCGACATGTCCGTAAGATAGCCACAAGTCATGTAGCACGTTTTGGTTTCAGGTCTCCGGGTAAGCAAGCGTAGGTGAAGCGCCGACCGGCTGCGGCGCCTATTCAGTCTTGCTTGACTCCACCTTTTGAAGCCAGATCTGTCCCCAGGAGTGCAGCTATCGTACCAACTCCGTTGACTGCAGTGCTGAAGATAATTGCATAGACGTTAAACCAGAAGGTCTCCGGCTCGCGGAACCATGGCGGCGGAAGCGGGTCCTGGCCTTGTACTAGCATCATCCTGTAATGATAGTAGATCGCGGAGCCGGTGTAGACCAAAAGCACGAAGTGCACGACACAGCGCGGCTTGCGGTCCAGCTGTGTCGCCAGCACGCAGAGCAGGGCAAGGACTAGGAGCAAGCAACCCAAATGTGGCATAATGCACCATGTGGCCTAAGTTGGCCATTTAAAGCCTCCGAAAATTGCAATAAGCTAGATTTCCCTTAAGCCCAACAAGGGCAACTATCGCCAAAACCGTCTTTCACCCAATAAGACCCTCTTATACCAAAAAAGGAAACATAACACAAACCATGTGGCGAAGCCCGACGACTCCAGCTTCGCCTTCTCATCACCGGAGAGCATGGTCAGAAGGGTGTCCTTAGTTGTCCATTTGGGAGTTTCCGAAAATTATGGGTTACGTAAGAGTTCCTTTAAAGGATTACTATAAGGGTTCCTTTACGTAAAGGGCTCTGTAATGGTTTAGAGTTTCCGAAAATTATGGTAATATATTTTGGGGCCCTTGTAATGAGGATCCTACTATTTAGGGTACACTATTAGGGTCCCCTATTCTCGGAAACTCCGGCTAGAGTTTAGGGTTTAGGGTTAAGGGTTCAGGCAGCTCATGGGCCAGAAGAAATTCAGAGTTGAAAGGGCCGTTCCAAAGCGAGCATCGTGAACCCAAAGCGGTCGAAGCTTGCACAATCAACTATATACTACTAAGTATCTTGTCCCCATAGCATGGGAATCGCCTGTGGCAGTAGGTTGAAAGCACTGAGCAGCAGCATCAGACGATCGATGGTGGAGGCATACGACATCGTGCGTATGGTTGCACTCCACTATCTAATCCACAATGGGCTGCGGCTTGAAGACAAAAGAGGCAAGCTTCCCTGAAAAACATGAACGCGAAATCAGCGCTTGACCCGTGACCCTGAACCCTCAACTTCCAAACCTGAGCCCCAAATCCTAGGCACGAAGGTGTCGCCCTAAACGCAGAAACTTTGGGAACCGCTTAGATGAGCCTTGTCCACCCTTACCAAATAGAACGCCTATAACGTCGAGGGCAGAATGAATAAGATGCTGGTTGTGTGAAGTGAAGCTATATGCCATGGATATTTGGGAGCAGCGGTACTATGATACACCCAATTCTACTTTGCAACTGATTATTAAAAGTTTTAGATTGGAAGAAAAATACAATGACATATTACAGACTTCTTCATCAATCAGATATGACCTAGATAGTCACTCCGAACCTTCCGTAGTTCCACCACCGAGGTCGATGCATCTCACCTGAAAACTACCGGTCAAAATATATGATATGATATGCTCGTCTTTGGAAAGGACCAATCACATCCGGATATGTCTTTTCGAAAGCTGCCATTCGCATTGTTTACATGCATGCCACCACCGGCAACGAGCATTCCAACGGGAGTACCAAGAACCAGATTACATATAAATACATTAACATTGTACATACATTCTGTACACGTAGTATATACATATATAAACATACATGGCTACATGTACACATATGTATATGCCAATGTGTATGTGTATACATCTGTGATCAAAACCCGGTATTTACTTGTCCACTATGCCGGGGCGGCGTGCACAATTGCACAAATAAGTCCAACTCTTACTTGGTCAATTCTTTGATGGAGGTATGACCATGTTGTCTTATGTCATATACATTGGTTTTCCAGTCTGATGGCAAACTTCGGGGCATGTGTCTTGGCGCCCTGCACTCTTCCAAGGAGATCTTCGTGCATATGTTTGTTTCGGTTCAGCACCCTTGTTGACTTCAGCTAAGCAACATCATAGTTTGAAGTTTGTCATGCACTACCCTCACCTCCCCTCGATGACGACCGTTTGCAATTGGGCAATCGTAACTAACTTCAACCTGGGTGGCCCTGAACCATGGACCTCCAGCAGCAGCGTGGTTCAAAACAGTTTATCTAGGCAATCGAGGCCACTTGACTATGTCCTGAAAGCTCGGCCCGTAACGACGATTTTCAAGTATGGATCATAATTCATTCTGCGCAAAGCTTGCGGCAGCTCGCTGGAAAGCCTGCAGACAGCTGCAGACAGCTTGATGCCAGGGGAAAGGAGTCGGGTCTTGGACTTGGACACTTGCACGATGACATTCTGCCCACACACACCCACGCGGGCAGGGATTTACGTGAAACATCATCGATGACCTGGGGCGTAGCTTTCCTGTCTCGACAGTACATGCCAGGGCTTTGAATTCAAAAGCCGGGTCCACCGTTTTACCTTAGGCGTTGGGGGTTTTATCTCTTACGGGTGGAAAGAGGTTAAGATAATGTGGGTTCTGACACGACTCAGTCGTTGATGCGGGTTGGTCCCTGCAATCTTGAACATGTTGACAAGAGGCGGCAACAGAAAGCAACTGCATGATTCAGGTTTTGTGTTTGGCGTGTTCTTTGATGAATGTCCTCAATGACATGACTCACACAGGCATTACATGTCACGCCCAAGCTTTACAGGAAAGGGCAAAAACAACCAGGAATTTCGCCCAAAACCCCCTGCAAGAGGAAGAGGAGAATGTTTCTTCGACCGTCGGATGAGTCATCAAGCTCAGGAAAGAGAATGTGAGGGGTTAAGTGGCTGGGTGGATTGGCGGGTGGGGAGGGATGGGTGTGAGGTGCAGGGTGGGATGTGGTGAAGTGGGCTGGGGGTGGAGTCAGGTGGAGTGGAGTGCCAATCCTTGAGGTTCTATTGTGCATAGAACTTGGGGTGATCGGAAGCCGCTACATCCAAAGAACCAAGTATTATTCAGTTTCCGGTGCTGAATGCTGAACCCAACACTTTTGCGGTTTCGACCTCCCAACCTGTGATCCTGGAAATAAGCTCAAGGAGTTTGGTGGCTCGATTTAGGAGTTTAGGGTTAAGTTGTTGTGTGGGGTGGTGGGCCGGTGGGGCTTAGTGTCATATGTCGGAATGTCGACGTCGAAAGCACGGAAAGATGATACCATAGCCGGTACAAAGAAGGTGCATGAAATCTTTCCACCACATAGTGAGTTGTTGAACCCTGCCTCTACCCCGTAAAAGGCTTGAGATGCAAGGTCAGGCGCCAATCCTTCAACCAGAATTTCCCATAATACTTTGGTCACTCGTCAAACTGCTTAACCGACATCCCTGTGCCCAAACCCCACTCCACACCTTCGCCCTGAACTGCGCATAAAAACTTCTAGACCTACACTCGAAACCCCTAAACCTCACAAAATGCCCCTCTAGTGGGTAGTGAACCCTAAACCCCAAACCCTGAACCCTAAACCCAGTGGGTTTAGGGTTTGGGGTTAGATACTATAGGAGCCTGAATAGTTAGAATACGGTTTTGGGGACCTTATTCTCTAATTATACTTAAGCACCCCCAAAAAAGTATAGGTAATTTTTGAGGCCCCTATATTCCCCACTCAGGAGGAAGCCAAGGTACGTCAAGAAAGACCGGGCTCCGAGAACTGGCCTCCCTTACGACAGTACATAATAGCCACCTCTAAGGAGCCCGAAAATCAGGTACCCTTAGGAAACTCCCATAATGTAGGAACTAGATTAAGAATCCCTGGCCCTATTACCCCAAAATAGTGGGATTAATTTGATGTCCATGACTTCGATTGGGCCCGGCTTCCGAGTAAGCGTTGTTGCGAGAACTTGCCGGATTTCTGGTCGCACGATCTGTTTTGAAGGTTTTTCGGTGTTTCTTACTCAGTCAGTTTTGTACCCGCAAGTGGTGTTGCAAAGAACCCCCAATGCCCACTAGCAACCATCTTGGGGTTTTCGTGCTTCTTGAGCTCTCAGCTGATCTCCTTTATCTCTCCCTCTCTCTCCCTCTCTCTCTCTCCCTCTCTCTCTCTCTCTCTCTCCCTCTCTCTCCCTCTCTCTCTCTCTCTCCCTCACTCTCTCCCTCTCTCTCTCTCTCTCTCTCTCTCTCTCTCTCGCACTTTCTGGCCTGATCCGAATTGAAGTGACATTTTTTGGTAATGCTTGCGTTCTCGGGTCGAAGGTTGCAAAGTTATAGTATGTTATAGTATATTATGGTATATTGTAGACCGTCTGCTGCAGTCTCTTATGGTCTACTGCAGTCTAGACATTTATAGTCTATTACAATCTGCTGTAGTATATCAAAGTAGACTATAGCCGAGTACAGGAAATTTTCATACATTTTGGAACATTGCTGTATAGTTCCAGTGTGCTAAAACATGATACAGCTTCTTATAGAACACCTGGTTGAATCCGAAGAGGCCTCCTGTTGAGGCCGATTCCAGCTGCCTTCCCAAATCCCGTTGTCCTTGCATTGGAGTTTAGGAACCCAAAAGTTTAGGGTTTCGGTTTGAGGGTTGAAAGGTTTCGGGTTCCAAAAAGCATGCAATATAAACTTGCGGAGACAAGATACCTACAAGGGGTCTCGATAGTTTGCTTTAAGGTGCTTCTGTGGGACCTGAGGAACATCACATCATCACATCTACGATAGATCTGCAGGTTTCAGGGTTGGGTCTTGTCACATCGACCGGGGGGGGGGGGGGCGAGGAGAGACCATGCAGGCTTCAGGGTTGAAAGGTTTCTTGGTGGGGTTTTAGGGCATAGCCTTTCAAGAACACGCTTGCAGGGGGTCATGTAAGCTCTCTTTCACGGCTCCAAGGCTCCCTGTCCTCACCATCGATGTAGAAGAGAAGAGGGTGCAGGATTTAGGTGAGGGTATGGTGGAGAGTGGAGACTACTTAAAGGCTCATGGGACTTAGTAAGTAGGGTTTAGGGTTCCCTTTAAGGGTACTATGGGGTTCTATAATAAGGTTCCCTTCTAAGGGGTTTGAGAGGAGCCGGGGGCATGGCCTGAACCGTAGAGCCAAAATACCCAGTTGCGATCGGAATTCGGGCTTCAGCTGTTCAACTTTTCCGCGACAATCTGATATCAATGTGTCGAAAATATGAATAAGACCCTTGCCTAAACCAGGCACCCTTGTGTTGCCGCATGACCCTTGCTGCATCGAGCACGTCATGGCGACTTGCGATTTGCTAGCGAAAAACTTTTGAATTATTCAACCATAAAGTGGAGCAACAACCTCAACTTTTGGGGCAGCCCCACAGCTATTCGGATCCCCAGCATAAGACAGTCCAAACCCTCATCCATGTGAAACCCAAACCCTGAAACAAGCGCCGGCAAGGATTCGCTCCTCGTTGAAAACGAGCCTGGGCCATGGCAGGGGTCAGCCACGGTTTAGGGTTCAGGGTTTAAGGGTTTACGGTCTGGGGTTTAGGGTTTGAGCGTCTAGTGTTTAGGGTTAATGCGACTGCGGTATCCCACAGCTGTAGACCCTACCCCACAAAGTCATCCATGTCTCTTTGCGGATGTTGGCTCAGATGGCTCGCCAGGTTCTCGATGTTAGAATGCACTAGGCTTTGACTCCGAAGGGCCTCTGCTTCGCCCATAGGATTCAGGGTTTCGAGTTTCGGGTTTGGGGAATCAGGCAACGCCAGAGGAGGGCAACGAAGAGAATCCAATCGAGCAAGATTGAGCCTGATCGTGGCAAAACACAGGTGTCAAGTCAATGAGGCAACCGCTTCGGTTCAGTCTGTCATGTAACCCGAAACCCGAAAGCCATCAGACCTGAACCCTGAACCTTAAACAGACTTAAACCCTAAACCCCTAAGCCCTTAAACCTTAAAAAAGGTTCTTGAAGAGTCTGCTCCTTAATCCGTGAAAGCAGGGGCTCTGTGTAGTCTTCTCCTGACCTCGTTTTGTGGGGGCCCTTCAGAATTAGACTAGGGTTTGTGGTTTATAAAATTTAGATCCAGGGTTGTT